ATGCAGCCACTTTTCAAAGGCTGCCTGGTTACTTGCTCTGAGGCAGAATTCTCAGGTTTACTTCCTTTGCATCATCACACCTTTCTTTATTCTCCTAGAACCCTGAACCCATCAAATTACTCCCAGACAAGTGTACACAGAGGGCCTTCCTCCCGCGGGCCCTCCTCACTGCCAGGCTCTTCTTCCTTGTCTCCCTTCATGTGTCTTTCCCGTTATCTCCCCAGACGGAGGCTTCTATTTTGTATTCGTGCACAAGCCAGGCTCTTCAAATTCCATCTTCTTCCAGAAATCAAAATACACAGAAATGAAGTAAGTAACGTCCCCTCTTGAACCAGGAAGAGAGCCCTAACGGTAGGGAGCATGCCAGGGGGTGGGCTGCCGGGGTGGGGGGGGTAGTGAGCTCTGCCAGATCAAAGCAGCTCTCCAGGGATGGACGACAAAAGGATGAGAGCAGAGGGTGGGGACACCGCTCCAGCCAGGCTGAAGGCCAGCTTTGCACCCTTCTCCCCACGCTCCACGTCCAGGACCTTGTTAAGCATCGCCCAACCCCCATCCAGCAGGACTGGTGTCTTCCTAGTGTTCTCCAAATCGGCCTGCTCTGGTCCTGCCCTCTGTCCACTCCCAAGAAGGCCTCCTGCTGGCAGGGGGCAGGTGCCCTCAGGCCCACTCCTAGTTTCTGCAGCCTTTCACCCAATCCGCTTCCCGCTGTCTCCTCTCCGACCCTCCTCTCGCCCCTCACCCCGGGCCTGGTGTCAAACCCTCCCTGTAATCCTACGAGGTAAGGGTCACCTCCGTTCAGGGAGGTTAAGCAACTTGCCCAGACCACAGAGTTTATGATACAGCCAGGATTCAAACCCAGTTTTAATGGGCTCTTACACACCAGGGTTGGGTACGGCCTCCCTGGATAATCTTTCTCCCGCGGGAAAGCACACGGGCTTTTGGATCCAGTGTTCCTGGTCAAAATCCAGCTCCACTGTTCATTGCGTGAGCTGGGGCATGCTTGCCGAACACTATGATTCTCAACATCGTCACCCGATAAATGGAGTTACTGGTGCCTGCACTGCAAAACTGAAGATGAAGGAGGACACGGCACCCGGAAGACACTCAGCAAACCCCAGATGCCACAACTGTTCACCGTGTTCAGCCGAGGGCCGCTCTGCTTTATGAACTCAGCAACACCCAGCAGTGGATCGGTGGGATCAATGTGCACTGGCCGGGGCCACCTAAGGAAAGAGCTCTCTTTATACACAGAGCGGCCTGTTTTCATTTGGGAACGTCGAAGAGGGAAAGTATGGAGGAAGATGAACACCGAGAGCAGACACCTTACAGTCACTAGAACTGGCCCCCACTGCTGAAAGAGAAACACGGGCGTGAACGCTGGGTGAACGATACTTTTCTTAGGGATGTGAACAAGTAACGGAAAAGAAATAGACGGGTTCCGGCCAAGGACAAGATCATGGGAAAAGAAGTTTCTATTACTAATTCCCTGATTTCTAAAAATCCACCTAAACATCTCAAAGACGGTTGCATCCACTGTTGCAAAACATTCACTTGTAAGTAGATCCACGCAGTTCAAACCCGTGTTATTCGAGGGTCCACAGTACAGTTAAATTTAGGAATTCACTCCCACAGGGGTGGGGAGAGGGCCTTCCCAGGGGTGTTTTCCTTAAATTGTTCATTTTATTTAATTATCAAGCTCCTTTCCTCGCCAGAATCGTGCAAGACTTCTCTTTAAACCATAACTCATTAGTTGTAATGGAGTTAAGTAGAAAAGATAGAAGAGAGAGAGGGAAGAGGGAACACAGTTAGGAATACGGTGAGTGTCTGGGCACCGGGGAGGGTCAGAGCCCCTCCAACATGCTGCTGGGCTGCTTCATCACCGCCTTCAGAACCTGGGCTGGAGGGGTTGTCTCGGCCCTCAGATTGGTTACCCTTTTAAGGCAAGAAAACAGAAAGGCGACTGGGAAACCATTCTGGACCATCACAAATAACAGGGAGCGTCCAGGGACTTCCCTGGCAGTCCAGTGG